GGTTAACCGTCATATAAAAAATTTCTGGTTAAATTATAAGTTTTAAAAGCAAGTTTGAGGCTGATAAACTATAGAACAAATGACGTCATCTTATAAAAAATACCTATACACAGCAACATTTGAACGTGATATTTACATAATTGAATTAAATCCCAATGCATGTGTCTCGACCTCTATGCCTTAGTAACATGATATTACTTGCTTCTGGCAGTATAAAACTATATATTTTAGATGAAACAGCAAGAAAAATTCATGCGTTTCATGCGTATATTTTAGGATGTGACAAGTTCGAATAGGCATTATTTTGCTCACTTTTCATGCAAACAAATATATATATTGCTCGAAAAACAAGAAGTAACGTGTATATCCGTCTTTCAGACTACTGGAGTGGAAGAAAATTAAAAAAGATTGAGTTATAATGCACAATTAAATTCAGTGTGCTTCAGACAATCTTGGACAAAACCCTTGAGACCATTTCAGCTAATATTACAAAGTTATTGAACATTGACAAAACAAATTTTGTCCCCCCCCTCCCCCCAGTTCAATGTTGCGAACAACGCCGAAACAACTTTTGGTAATATACCATGATACAAGCTCAACATTGAGTTGGGGGAGCGGGGGTTTAAGAATGGCAACATGATTCAACATGGAGTTTATCATAAAAATACGCGAATTTTCTATAGGGGGAAAATAGTCTTAACCAGTTATGTCCAAGATTGTAGCTGTATATCCTTTGATTTATAGGTTATATGTATTTAATTTATTTAATTGAGTCATAAAAAATTATGTTCACAATTATTGATGCTTGATAATAACTTAATTAAATGGAATTATAACACAGTGTTTGAACTTTGAAGTGTTTTTGCTGATACAATGTTACCATAACTATTGGGTTTAACAATTAACACAGGCCAATGTCATCAGGTTGGGTGATGCTAAATTGCCTATTGTTACGAGCCGGTCCTTACTATTTTATTTGGCCGCGCTTTTGGTTCTATTCGCTCGCAACAAAGATTGTGAAACCAATTACTTTCAATGATATATTTATTTCTTACTTATATATTACTCAAATCTCAATAATTAGCGTCTCTATAACTTTTACTTATATAATATAATTCTTAATAATAATGAACTGTTCAAACTTATCTCTTTTCACGACTGAGTACAACTCTTCAATTACTGACAATTCTTTATCTTTAATATATCTTCGCCTTCGTATAATCCTTTTAAATCTTTCTTTATTAACTTGTAATTTCTATATATCTTCACGGCGATGTTATTCAGGCTTTCGCCTTATGAATAATGCATGAATTGTCTAGTTGTGCTCAGGCTTTTATACGCTCTGCTATAGGGGAAGAAACTACAAAACTACGACTCATTTCCCCTACGCAATACAGTTCGTTGAAGCAAGTCTCAGTACTGAACCACAAATCGGCCAACGCCAAACCGAGTCATGTCCGCTACGTTAGTTGTGGGACATCTTAATCTTTAAAACTATTTGCTTACTCATGCATGTAAGCTATTCGGTTAATAATATGAATATAAAGTATAAGCTATATAGTATGATATAATAGTATGTAAAATTACATGATATAAGCATTATCATGTAACACCCTCCCCCTTGAAAGAAATAAAGTTTCTTCACTTTCTTTTCAATGTAGCGTGTTCGTCAAGTGCATGTTCATGGCCTTGAAAGACAATCAGCGATCAAGTTGTCTTGTCCTTTTATTATTATTATTATTATTATAAATTTCCAAACTAGCAGTAACAACTGAATTACTTTGGAATTACAGGGTATAAGAACATAGGTATTTAATCTATTCTATATTTACAGGTAAAAATAGGTAAGTTAGATAAAAATAACGATAATAATCTAAAGTTTACTTATTATTATAAGCACGAGACGCAGCAGGAATGAAACTGTTCGAAAAACGTTCAGTTCTACACCTAGGTACTAATAAGTTGGGATAAGACCTCAGATTATAAGTTTGAAGACTTTTAGGCGGTACTAAGGCATTCAGTTTATGAGTGGGTTCCAACATCTTCGAAAAAAGTCGCTTGCAATGGACAGTTCTACGTTCGTAAAGAGTCGTCAAGTTAGCTTTAAGCAAACATTCAGCATAAATAGTTCCAGGGAAAATAATTTTTAACGCCCTTTTTTGTATTTTTTCAACTTGATCACTCAGGTAATGAGGAAGGCCATAATGCCACACCTGACAAGCATATTCGACAATTGGTCGAATATGTGTACAATAGGTTGAGATCAGAATATGAGAAGGTAAAGCATTTCTTTTAAGAAGGCGCAGACCGTACAAACGCTTCGCGGCTTTCTTGCAAATGTAGTCAATATGGCAGTTCCATTTGAGGTCGTCCGAAAGGACAACGCCCAATAGTTTGGCCTCGGAAACGACGTCGACCTCTTGACCGCGAATGGTAATAGGGGCAAACGATGGGGTAAGCTTAGAAAAGCAGACACGCAATTCTTTGGTCTTTGATACATTTAACTTCATATTATTGTCTGATGACCATTCAGAGCAGCTGATGATGTTAGCGGGTAACTGGGAAGGGGAATTGTTTGATATTATTTCCCAAAGGCTAGTATCATCGACAAATTTAACAGTTTCATCCACTACAGCCAAGTCATTTATCATGATCAAAAATAATAGCGGGCCAAGTTTCGTTCCTTGTGGGACGCCGGCGTTTAAAAACTTCCACTCAGAAAAGAACTGACCAACACGGGTTCTTTGTTGTCTGCCTGTTAGGAAGTTTGCGATCCAGTTGAGTAACACGGGATGAATTTCCATGTCTTTCAATTTTTCCAACAGAATGTTATGATCTAATCTATCAAACGCCTTGGCAAAATCAAGTAAACAAATCCGTATAGTGTTGCCTTGTTTGTCAGCTGCTTCAAACCATTTATGTAGCATGTAGATTAATGCCATACTAGTGCTTGAACCCTTCAGCGAACCAAATTGCAAGGAATCAATTTTTTTGAGACGGAGTCAAGTAGCCATTTGTAGGGAAAGGATTCAAGAATCTTGCTGATAATTGGTGTGAGGGAGATTGGTCTGAAGTCAGAATCAACATCTTTAGGAGGCGAAGATTTTTGAACTGGTGTAATATTTGCTGCCTTCCATATTGAGGGAACAAATCCTTCACGAACTGATGAATTAAAAATAGAACACAAAGGTCGACACAACACTGAAGCGTTTTCCCGGAGAAGCCAAGAAGGAATTTCATCGGGACCAGCAGATGAATGAAGTTTAGATGATAATAGGGCCTTTTCAGTCTCCTCGACAGAGATGCAGAAATCATCTGGAATGTCATTTGTGGGAAGGGGGAGCCAGTTTAGATTGGGTAAGGAGGACCCTACAGCAACGAACTTGTCGTTGAGCAAATTTGCTAAATCGGCATCAGAGTAGGATTTACCTTGGAACATCATTGTAGATACATTCTTAGAAGACTGAAGACCGGCAATATTCTTCACCGCTGACCACCATTTACGAGAATCGGACTGTTGAACGCCCGCGATACTTTTATTGTAGTAATTTAGTCGTGCTTTTTTGCAAAGTGCATTGACTTTGTTTCGATAGAATCTGAACATCGGGTTATTGCCAGCCGCCCATGCTGTTTGCCGCTTGGAAATAAGAGATTTTATTTCGGAAGTAATCCAAGGCTTGTCACTAGAATCAATTTTGATTTGTTTCCAAGGCAAATGTTCGTTTATGATATTATCAACGATGGTGGAAAAATACTGGAACTGCTCGTCACAAGATTCCATATGGTGCAAAGGTAACCAATTAACTTTCGACAGATGATCGCTAACAATTCGACGATTGGTTGGGCGAGAGTCTCGTACTAAACGTGTAGACCTTGTGCCACCATAAGAGTTAGCTGGAAGAGGTTTAAGAACGATGGAATTATGATCGGAATGTCCAATTGGAGAAATTACCAGGGCAGAATTATAAAATTTGGAAATGTTGGTAAATATTTTATCTAAAATATTCTTTCCTCTAGTAGCGTCTTTGACTAACTGCTTGAGGTTAAAGGAACTGCATAACTGGCGATGTTTAAATTGGTTAAAATCTCCGGCCAAAATAATTCCTGCACCGGGATTGGTGGAAAGGACAGAATCGATTGATTCGGTAAGGTGTGAAAGAAGAGCTTTATCGTCACTTCCAGGTGGATGGTACACGATTCCCAATACAATTGAATTTAAACCACGAGGCAAGCGGTGAGGTTTTAAGAGTAACCAAAGCGACTCATATTCGTGACTTTCAATCTCTTTAAGATGAATGAACGGAAGCATGTCCTTTACAAAGACACAGACTCCACCTCCTCGTCTGCCGTCAGAACGATCATCATGTGTTGTATGTGCATGTTGTATTCCGATAATATCAAGCTCCATCGCAACAAACGTTGATTCTTGTCCTTCATTCGGTGGATGAAAACTAGTGGATTGTGATCACTGAATACTTCGATAGGAACTCCGGCTGAAGAAACATACACGTCAAAATGTTGAAGGGCGAGGATAAGGGCAAGACATTCTTTTTCAACAGTGGAATAATTGCGTTGATGGTGGTTAAACTTGCGGGAAAAATAAGCTACCGGATGGTCGATTCCATCGTCGTCCTCTTGTAATAATACTGCTCCGGCAGCGATGTCACTTGCATCAACAGCTAGTTTAAAGGGTCGGCTGAAGTCTGGGGCTGACAAAACAGGAGCACGTTGCAACATTGCCTTGAGTTGCTCAAAAGCAAACTGGCATTGTTCAGTCCAATGAAACTTGGCGTTCTTTTGCAGCAACCGAGTTAAAGGCTCCGTGATAGCAGAAAAATTTGGACAAAACTTTCGGTAATAACCTGCCATACCGAGAAAACGCATCACGTGTTTTTTCGACGCCGGTTGAGGAAACATCGAGATGGCTTCGACCTTTGCTTCGACAGGCTTCACTTGACCTTGCCCGACGATATGTCCTAAGTAGGTGACATGACCACATCCAAACTCACTCTTTAATATATTGATCGTTAGCTTCGCGTCGCTGAGTCGTTTAAAGAATTTCCGCATAATCTTCAAATGTTCTTCCCACGTATCACTGTATATTATTACGTCGTCAATGTAACCCTTCGCAGCCTTCTATCTCCGCGATAACATTATTTATCAGCCGTTGGAGGTCGCTGGCGAATTACGCATGCCAAAAGGCATCACTTTATATTGGTAGAGACCTTTCGGAGTCACGAATGCTGAGACCTCTTTCGCACGTTTAGTAAGTGGAATCTGCCAGAAACCTTTCAATAAATCAAACTTGGAGACGTATTTTGCAGTTCCAATTTTGTCAATACAATCATCAATCCGCGGAATGGGATACGTATCCGCCTTCGTCACATTATTAAGTTTTCTATAGTCCGTGCACATCCTATAACTACCATCAGGTTTGGGAACTAGCAAACAAGGTGAACTCCAGCTACTTTGGCTTGGTTCGATGAAATCATTCTCGAGGAGGTACTCGATTTCTGCTTCGAGGTGTTTTTGCTTCGTTGGGTTTAGACGGTATGGGTGTTGTTTGATAGGTGGCGCATCGTTGATCTTAGCCCGCTCGCAGGCCGTTGTCAGGCAGAGGCTGCACGAGGAACGGCCTGCGACCTTTATTAGTAAAAAGTCGATTTATGCGTACGGAGCGTACGCAAAATTCCCATTGGTCAGAAGTGCCCCATGAGTTAATATCGTGCAAATATTTAACGCGTACGACATTCGCAATGTAATTTTAAAGCTGGCATTCAATCAGTGGCGTATAAAACCATGACTTTGTTTATCTCTTCGAAGAAGTATTAAACTGAATGTATTTGAGAAACCTTTCAATTTAAATTAACGTTGAAGGATGAGCGAAGGTTAGCAATATTAACTGTACTTCCAACGGGATTTGATAAAAGTTAATATACCGATACTTTGTCTTCGTCAGCTATAATAATAAACCTTTTCCAAAGAAGTACAAGGGAAAACTTCGATGTATGCCTTGCTGATCTTTGCAGAGAGAGTAAAATAAGGCTAGTTCAGGCTGACAATTTATCTAACTGCGTTTGCATCACTTGCGGTTTCAAACGTTGAAGTGAACAACTTAAGGTTAGCCCAGCGAGACGTTCGTTGAGTCGACACAGGCAGTGAATCAGCTAGTATAAAGCAGTTGATTGTCAAATGCCTCCGAACATTTCTCCCAAATACTTCCCTGTCAACCCCAAGGCTTTCTGCCTAAACAATCTGGTCTTGAATAAGTCAAGACAATGGGCAAATTATTAAAACAGACGCCGTCGAGGAAAGTCGTTCTTAGAACACCTGGCCAATTTGAATTTACACCTGGAAATTTTGCAATAGTCGTTTGCGTGTTTTTTGACCGAAGTCCGCTCTCTCTTTGAGACTTTATTTTTGGGAGTCTCAACTAGTGACATATATTATTATAACAAGAGCTTTTTACAAAAAAATGTAGTTATTAAACACGGCAGAATCGATGCCACGGCCACGGGTTTTCAAATTGTCTATTGTCTATTGAGTTAATTGTATTATCAGTTGAGCAAATGACAGACTTCACGCAATAATGATTAATGTTGTTTTTTAGCCTGCTATTGTTCGACACTTTTAATAAATAGTGTTTGTTACTTTGTTCAAAACCTAAATACGTTTCCTTAAATCTTACAGTTATATTTTGGATATAAATAGAGTAAAATTTTACGTCTCTGTAGTATAGTTACATAATTTAAAACGGCAATGTACGAACAAGACAGCAATATACAAACGGGACTATGTTTTAAATATTAGAACACTTTAGGGAAAAAACGACCATGAATTATTTTAGATTAAAGTTTAGACTTTGGAATCCTAGTGAAAGATACAGGCGTAAAATTGCGCGAGAAACTGTTTGTTGTTGTTAATAACCTCTGGTAATCTAATTAACAAAACTTGCTTTGATTGGCTACTATTTACCGGATATTCAATTATCTCAAAGGGGGCGTATTGAAAAAATATCAACAAAAGTCGCAGGCTCTATATAATAGAGCCTGTGAGCAGGCTACGTTGATCTCTACGTCGTGGGCAATATGGTCTGTCCTGGAGGGTACGTCTGGAAATAAGCATTGGTATTCCTGTACTAAAACTTCGATGTCTCTTCGTTGAGATTCATTTAGGTGGCTTAACTTTGTATCCATATCGCGAAGAACATCAGAGTTATGGAGTTTAGTTGACTCAGACAGATTGAAGAGTTCGGTTGGATATTCTATATTATTATTTGCTTCATCTATGACGTTAACTACCTGCACACCATTCTTTCTCTCATAATATGATTTTAGCATATTTACATGACATAACTGCTTATTCTTACGTCTATCGGGGGTAACTATGACATAATTTAAATAATTCTCTTTCTTTTCTACGAGTTAGGGGCCAAAATACCTAGCATGCAAGGGTGTTCCAGGGACCGGAAGAAAGGCAAGTACTTTGTCGCCGGGTTGAAAACTTCGCGTTACGGTAGTTTTGTCATACTTTTCCTTAATGCATTTTTGGGCCGACTTAAGATTTTCTCTAGCCAAATCGCATGCTTTTGTGAGTTTCGTACGGAAATCTGAAACATATTTTAAAAGGTTTAAAGGACTGTCGTCGTCGACAAGCAACTTCTCCTTCAGGAGTTTAAGTGGTCCCCTAACGGTATGTCCGAAAACAAGCTCAAACGGAGTAAAGCCTAAAGATTCTTGAACTGAATCGCGTGCAGCAAATAAAAGTAAATGAATTCCTTCGTCCCAACTTTTCTCGGTGTCCTGGCAATACATCCGAATCATGTTTTTCAATGTTTGGTGAAATCGCTCTAGTGCTCCTTGACTTTCCGGATGATAAGCGCTTGATCTAAACTGTTTGATGCCTAGTTCCTGCATTACTTGCTGAAATAAGCCCGACATAAAATTCGATCCTTGGTCCGACTGAATGGATTTTGGAAGTCCAAATAGAGTAAAAAATTTTGTAAGCGCTTGAACAATAGTTTTCGCCTTAATATTTCTTAAAGGTATAGCTTCTGGAAATCGAGTCGAAACACACATAATGGTTAGGAGATATTGGTTTCCTTTTCGAGTTTTAGGCAGTGGTCCGACACAATCAATCATGACTCTACTAAACGGTTCTTCAAAAGCCGGAATTGGTTTTAATGGTGCTTTAGGAATTACTTGGTTTGGTTTTCCAACAATTTGGCATGTGTGACAAGTTTTGCAAAATTGAACGACGTCTTTTCGAACCCCGGGCCAATAGAAATGGGTAGTGACTTTTTGTAACGTTTTGTTTATTCCCAAATGACCCGAAAGTGGAGTGTCATGCGCCAAACTAAGAATTTCGGATTGATAAGACTTCGGAATTATAATTTGATATCGAAAAGCCCATTCGTCATCGGCAGAAACATCAGGGGGTCGCCATTTCCTCATTAACACTCCGTTTTTAATAAAATAGCACACAGGACCGCCTGTGGCATCCATCTCGTCTGAAGACTTTTGGTAAAGCGCAGAAATCTCAGGATCATTTTGTTGCTCTCTAATAGGGCTAGATTTTGAAAAACTACTTTGATTATCATTTGCATCCAAATTTTCAGATACTTTTGAAAGAAAAGTGTCAGACATGTCAATTTCATCTGCTCGCACATTATCTATCTCATGATCTTGCCGTTTTTTTATGGCTGTAGTAACCGCACATGAAGGATATAAATCTGGAATAACTTGTTCAACCGGATCAGGCTGTTGAGAAAGACATGGTTTGTTTGTTAAAATTGGGTTAACTGTAACTTTATCGCCAGCTAAATCGTTTCCTAATAACAAATGTATCCCATCAAAAGGTAAAGACTCAATCACGCCTAAGGAAACATCGCCTGTCACCATTGAACGATAGTCTTTGGAGTTAACGCCGCATATCAAAACATTTTTGCCCGAATACGAATTTGTAGAAAATGGTAATGTTCTGGTTAGTATCAACGATTGTGAAGCACCTGTATCTCGCAATATCTTGATTGGTAAATAAACATTTGATTGGTCATTTGAGAGCGATACAGAACCATCAAATATAAATGGCTTAAATGTGTCCATACTAGGGTCAATATATTGACCCTTGTGAATATATTGTTTACTCTCAACGACATGTTGCTTTGGTTGTTGCTGCCGCTCGTATAAACTATGAAATTCTGGTTTCGTGTTTGACGAAGAAATAAAACGTGTTGGTTTTGGTGGTGGTCTGTTAAATTTAAGCGAATGACATTCAGACCTTGTGTGACCACTTCGTTTACAATAATCACAAACAATTGACTTAAATGGTGATGGTCTACGCCAAGATTCTGGCGGTCCATTGCGTGGTTTGTTGTTGAAAGAGCTAAAATCATTGCCTGGATATCGTCCCTGAAATTGCCTAGGAGGTGGCAGACATTTATTGTCAAATGCAAGGCTGTTGCCGCGAGAAGGAAACATATTTGATTTTATACCCGTGGTCGAAAATTTGTGTGTTAGCAAGAAATTATCTGCCAAACATGCTGCGTCACTTAGTGTTTCCGGTTTTTTGTCAGTCACGAAAGTTCTAACATCATTACTAAGACAATTTGTAAATTCCTCAATCAAAATCAACTCGCGTAAACGATCGTATTTATTCTCCACATTTTCTGATGTGCACCAGCGATCGAAAAGCTGAGCCTTTTCTTGCGCAAATTCCACAAAGGTTTTATTACTTGATTTGCCTAAAATGTGGAATTTTTGGCGATACGCTTCGGGAACCAACTCGTACCCCTTCAGAATTAGTCGCTTTACCGTATCGTACTCTCCGGAATCTTCTACCGTAAGCTGTGAAAAAATTTCCCGAGCTTTCCCTAGGAGGACACTTTGCAAGAGCATTGTCCAACTTTCCTTCGGCCAGTTGCAGTTTTTGGCAACCTTCTCGAAATGTAAAAAGTACTTATCGACTTCCCGTTCCTGGAACGGTGGAACCATCCTAATGTGTTTAGTTACATCAAAATAAGGGGTAGAATGATCGGATGACTTATTCTGGCTTTCTAGCTGTAATTTTTGTAACTCTATCTCCTGTTGTTTTAATTTAAACTGTCTCTCTTTGCGTTCCCACTCACGCTTCTCTCTTTCTCTCTGCCATGCTATTTCTGCCTGCTCTCTCTGCCACTGTCTTTCTTCGCGTTCATCACCTACACTATTGCTATGATCTAATTCTACTTCAGGACTGGAATCTTGAGTAACTTTATATGCACCTAAAGCAGACTATTCAAATGACCTTGTCTCGTTCACTAAATGTTCCATTATAAGTTTTTGGATTTCCTGTTTTCGCATTGAACTGCGTATTTCTAATTTTAAATGCTTGGCTAATGTTATTAAGTCATCTTCTCTTAATTGCCCAAATGTACTCTGGTTTGGTTCCACCATAAATTCCTGGGGGTTAAACTCAGACATTATCAAATAACTGGTTTCACATATACACTTAAACCGCGAAAACTTTACTTATACTTTTATTTTTACTTTACTGAAAATCTTTTCCCTTGAAAAGAACCTTTTCTTTTATCTTTTAAACGAAACTTTTATCTACTGTAGGGCCATCTTTAAAATTTTGTTTTGGAATGTTTTACTTTATAGTCATGCAATGTCAAACGAGAAAGTTTTCCCGGGCGGGCCCCCAATTTGTTACGAGCCGGTCCTTACTATTTTATTTGGCTGCGCTTTTGGTTCTATTCGCTCGCAACAAAGATTGTGAAACCAATTACTTTCAATGATATATTTATTTCTTACTTATATATTACTCAAATCTCAATAATTAGCGTCTCTATAACTTTTACTTATATAATATAATTCTTAATAATAATGTACTGTTCAAACTTATCTCTTTTCACGACTGAGCACAACTCTTCAATTCCTGACAATTCTTTATCTTTAATATATCTTCGCCTTCGTATAATCCTTTTAAATCTTTCTTTATTAACTTGTAATTTCTATATATCTTCACAGCGATGTTATTCAGGCTTTCGCCTTATGAATAATGCATGAATTCAGGCCTTAAAATATATTTTACAGGGCCGTCTGACAAAATGTCCGATGACGTTGAGTTTGGGTCGGACATATGTCCAATGACCTTCAGTTCAGTTTTGACTCGGAAATAAGTCTGAATGACACAAATGAATATCAGCAGAATGTATTAATTCTGAATGGTAAATGTTGTGAAGATATTAAATAATTTGTTTTTTTCATATTTATTTCCAAGCCAAATTTAATTTGCTTTCCAGAACAGCAGTAAAAGACTTAGAATTAAGCCCGTTTTCCACTTCACCATGCATTTCACTCCCCGCCCCGCGCTCGACTACGTTAAAACAAATTTCCAGTTCACCTTTTATACAATAGTACTCTGGTTTTCCATTTAACGTTACAAGCCTCTAGTCCTGGGATAGGGTACATTTTGATTTACGCCGGACAAAGCTACAGTTTGGTCGGACACCAATACACTCAGGTCGGACAAACAATAAACCTCAGTTTCACTTTGGTCGGACAGAATGTCCGGTGGTTTTCTCTCTACGTCGGACAATTTCACGAATGGGTCGGACAATGTCCATGACCGACCGATATTTTAAGGCCTGCATGAATTGTCTAGTTGTGCTCAGGCTTTTATACGCTCTGCTATAGGGGAAGAACGACTCATTTCCCCTACGCAATATAGTTCGTTGAAGCAAGTCTCAGTAACCACAAATCGGCCAATGCCAAACCGAGTCATGTCCGCTACCTTAGTTGTGGGACATCTTAATCTGTAAAACTATTTGCTTACTCATGCATGTAAGTTATTCGGTTAATAATATGAATATAAAGTATAAGCTATATAGTATAATATAATAGTATGTAAAATTACATGATATAAGCATTATCATGTAACAATATCCTCGCCTTCAACATTCAAAATGCAAGCCTGGTGAATCAAGGCTGAATTGTTATTATTTTCTACAGATTTGTGTTTGAACAAAGCTCCCTGGCCGGTCAAGGAGTTTTCAAAAATGTCGAAAGATATGCACTCCATAATGTGTGACATATACGCCTATACTATACTATATGGCTATAAATAAAACATATGTACACTCGGAGCTCAATGTCTTTGGCGTGTCACATGACACACCAATCAAATTGTGAATGTTTAATTGTAGGTATTACTCATTGAAATAAATATAGGTATTATATATTTATTTTTATACTATATATTCTCAGCATTTTTAGCTTTTTGGCTGTTTTTTTTCTATATCTTAGCATTTTTTCGTCCTATATTTTTAGTTTAATTTTAATGTTCAAACTTTTATTTTATCCATTTATCTAATAGCCTTATAGCCTAGTGATGTAATAATCGTTTAGATAATAATGCAACTCTACAGTTGTGCCCAACGGCGAGGTCACTTACTGCCAAGGCTGCCAAAAGAGGTGGCCCGGGCCAAATTCTGTTTTGGGGCCCCCTTTTTCCGGAAAATTTTTTCTGGACAATTAAGTTTCTCGTTCTTGACAACTTTATAGGGAAAAATTTTCCGGACAATAACGTTTTAATAGCTTTCGTAGCACTTTCCCTAGCTAACTATGCAATACCAAATTTTGGTACCTTGCCCACGGAAAAAACAGAAATATTTCGCCCGAAAAAATGTTTGTAGCCCATAGAAAAATTACTAAGGGGCCCCCTGAGCTTGGGGGCCCGGGCAATCCCCCCCCCCCCTCGGCAGGCCTGCTTATCGCATATGGTCATGGTCAAAGCCTAAAATATTATGTGTGGGAATTCTATTTAACAAAATCGTAATATCTAAAGATAGTACAGATATACATTAATCATGTGACATAACATAAATAAGGTTTGATATAAGTTTCCACAATTATTATATGCACTGTCACTGATACACAGCAGCATTTGGCAGGCCTTAAAATATCGGTCGGTCATGGACATTGTCCGACCCATTCGTGAAATTGTCCGACGTAGAGAGGAAGCCACCGGACATTCTGTCCGACCAAAGTAAACTGAGATTTATTGTTTGTCCGACCCAAGTGTATTGGTGTCCGACCGAACTGTAGCTTTGTCCGACATCCGACATAAATCAAAATGTACCCTAGCCCAGAACTAGAGACTTGTATGTTAAATGGAGAATCAGAGTCCTATTGTATAAAAGGTGAACTGGAAATGTTGTTTTACCATATTCGAGCGCGGGGCGGTGAGCGAAATGGTGAAGTGGAAAATGGGCTTAATTTGTCGAAGTTTTTTTTAATACAGCTGTTCTGGCAAGCAAGTTAATTTTGGCTTGGAAATAAGTATGAAAGAAACAAATTATTTAATATCTTTACAACATGTACCATTTATTCATTTGTGTCATCCAGACTTACTTCCGAGTCAAAACTGAACTGAAGGTCATCGAACATATGTCCGACCCAAACTCAACGTCACCGGACATTTTGTCTGACGGCCCTGGAAAAGACATTTTAAGGCCTGGCATTTGGAACTCGTATGTACAACAGAAACTCGGGTCCAGGCTGAGTTTATAGGTTTAACCCAGGTTAATTTTATTAGGTTTAAACACGTTTAATCCGGGTTAAACATGTTTAAACTTACTGAGACTAACCGCATTAGTGTTTGAGAAGTGCATGTAAATCTGGCTTTAATACCACTTGCGGAATCTAATTTGACATTTCGATCAAACTAATTATGTCAAACATTTACGAGGGCTGATAGCGTGTTATAAATGTCAAAGTATTTGCGTAAAAGTGACCCTTGAAATAGAGTAAACGTCGTTAAATTGATATTGAATCATAGAATTGTAGTCCTAGTCTAAATTGATCATGCTATTTGTAGTGCATGCAAGTTTTACACATTTTCACCACGAAACCAAGACAATGCACTAGAGACATCTTTGCCTATAAAATACAGGTCAAAGATTGGACACATTATCAGTCTCTAAATTTTGACATTTGAAAGAGAATGACCTCTATCTTGAACATTTTGATATATAACTCCTCTAAATATGTTGATATAATTTGTAACGAAATCCCACTTTGGGTTAGCTAAGAATGTAAATATAATATCATATATAATAGCTTATAAATGTGCCAATTTCTTTTAGCGGGGGATGTGGCTCTTATAAATCGCCAATTGCAAACATAAGAATACTACGATAAAGACAACAAATTCCCATTTTCATTAGGCTAAAAAAATATAATGCGAGAATAAGAAAACAACTTACAGATTTATACAGTACAGAAATTTCTGCTAAAAATAATATTTCACTACAGACACTAGATCATTTAATAGTTCACTGGCTCTTACCGGAGCAGCCTATTAAACTATAAACTAGTAAGAGCAGGCATAGGCTAGAGCAGGCATGTTACTCAAAAAATGTGGATTAGAGACATTAGAACAATGTTTTTACAAAATAAACAATTCCTTGTCACTCCCTTTGTAACTCGTTTAATAAATGTTGAATTGCAAGAGCTCTTATTTGGGCATGAGGACTTTCTGTTTTGTAAAGCTGATGGCTTACACTATGAAATAAACAGTTAGCATAGGCATTTCATCTCATTATCTATTCGGTTTTTAATGCGTTTGGCACACGAGTAGCGTGTTAAATAAATAAGTTTAGTATACTAAGATACTAAACTTATTTAAAACTATGATTATTCTCATCATCCTTTCAGTACTCGTATTGCACATTTGACTATTGTCTCAGTGACACACAGAAACATAAAAATGAGGGGGGAAAATCATTAAAATGATGCATTTTATCCCCATATCTATTCCGCATTTTATCCCCATATCAGTTCCGCATCTGCTCTGTGGATCTGCTCCGTGGATCTGCTCTGTTCCGTATTCGTTTTACATTAACCGACTACACAATAACAAATCTCATTGACCTTTGACTTTATATTCCCAAGATCAGTTAAAGTTGTTTTTTATGAGTCATTTTCAGCTTTTCGCAAGTATTCAATAATGTCACTTTAGATGCAATAGTTTCACAGTTATAGCAGTGTTTATAGCAGTTTTTTCTGTTTTATATACAGATAGATTTTTGTAAGATCTGGTAGAGTTCTCATTGCATTGAATATTGCATTGCACATGAGTTTGCACCGTTGTGCCAGACATGTGAACAAGACCCGTAACTGTTATACAGTCGATGTATAATGAATGTCTAAACAATATATATCAGCACTTATAAAAGGTTAAGTATTAATTGAATGCCG